TTTTTGATGTGATGATAATGGTGAACTATGTGCGTATATGATTATTTGATGATGAAAGATGTCTAAGTGCTATTGTGATGTATTTGTGAGTGTGACGTGTTGATAGATAAACCATGTTATTATATGATGAGGTTGTTTGTAACTATTCGTATTTTTCTTATATCTTTTATAATGAATTGTAATTACTCACCCTTTTTATTTGAATGTTGCCTCCACATGGGTAACGCGCAGGTGACCATGAGTAGTTCTTAGAAGCGTCAATGATAACTTCAAAGTTTTTTATTTAGTTTTCTACATTAGTGTTATCTTGCTCTGATATGTAACATCAGGTTGGAACACTATGTTTTGTGAATGATATACTTTTACTAACATGTTTTTATGAGGTTATTGGATGATAGAGTGTTTTAATTATATCTTTTGATGAGATTATAATACATTTATTTTTTAAATATGCAATGAAGTTGTTTTATGATGATGATTTCCGCTGCGACAGTTTTAAATGAAAAGATGATGTATAATTAGATGCATGTTAAACATTGATGTAACCCATGTTACAGAGAAGAATTGAATTTATGTTGTTTTCTATAAAGTGTGACACCCTTGAGAATGGTGATTTTATTTGAATTAATTCGTAAATTATATGAGATTTACATGTAGGGTTAGAATGGTGTTACACATGCCACCATAAGATCATGTTGTATGAGGAATGAGCTCATATCACAAGGTATCTTACATTTATCATCTTCTCACTTTCCTTTATCCCAAATATGGTCTTTAGGGTGCATATTAACACTTTTACTTGTACTTGTTTTCATGAGAAATTAACTAGTAAGCCTTGGAAAGCTTTAAGGTCATCTAGATCTAGGCAAAGTCTCTCGAAAGCGTCCTAGTAAAGGATTTTTTTCATAACTCCCTTGATCACTTAACACCCGCTTAATTTCTTAATCATCACACCTCATGATTATGATCATGGGGTCATTTTCATGGGGATGGTTTCTAGTAGCATCCTTCGATGAGATGGTGATCTCATAGTCTAGAGTTTCCTTTGTGCATAGGTTAGGGCTGGCACATGAGCCTTCTATTTCCATAACTTGGCACACATATCTCCTACCAACAAAAACAATCAATCTCCTTCTTGAGCTAATAACATTATTTTGTGTGGTGGCCCTTGACCTTATGAAATTTGCACCCCTTGTTGGGATCAGGTCTCATTACGTATGATTTTAGGGATGGAGAAAGAGGAATGTCGTGTGTGTGTGGAGGACTTTATGTCATATTTGTTCACAACGAGTGTTTAGGGGGTAAAGTTCTCCATATACCTCTCTCAAAGCTTCAAGGTCTCTTTGTCTCCAACGGGAGAAGTATAGTGGCTTATATGCTACTGCAGTTAAGAATCCCGATTTCCAGACGTTCTCCTTGGCACCCCTAACCCTTTTTTCTCTATGTTTCTCTCCTGACCCTTAATGAAATATTTAGCGCGCGTTACTATCTTTGACATGGAAGTGGCAGGTCTCTGGGTACAAGATTCATTAAAATATCATACCTTTAAATGGTATAATAACGGTTGGTGTTAACACCGTGGTTGATCTAATGAAGGTTTCATGAGTTCGAACCCCATCACCCTCAAATAGTCTATTACTTTGACGTTAATGAGGGCCTTTTCATTTTTATTTATATGTAACTAAAAATTAACAGTGATATCACTACAGTTGTTTTCTTAAACCGTTGTTACACACATGCGCTTATTTATATATTTTAAACACTATAAATATCCATTTTTCCATTGAAAAAAGAAACAAGATGAAACGATTCTAACACCAATGTCGTCATCATCGTCGGGAAAGAAGATAACAAAACCAACACAATATTCTCCTTTACGGTACGTAAAATATATTATTGTTGTTTAGTTTCCTTTCAATGTCTCATTTGAAGACAAAGTCATCCAAAGGTGTTTTTATGTCTTCTTCTGTAAAATCTCGATCTGAAAATTTGTGTGGTTGTGATGGCCGTATGGTTTCGTACCAATGCAAGAATGGATAAAATAAAGGAAGGTTTTTTTGGAGATGTCCATTTTGGAGGAGTGATGAAACCTATAATTTGTTCATATGGGATGAAGACATGGGAGAAAAGGGTGGAAATGAATATGAGAGCATTATGAAGTCAGAGTTGGAGATGTCTATTTGAAGGTTATGTATGAAGACTCAAGAAGAAGAATAAAAATTTGAAGAACAAACTGAAATCCGAGAGATTATCTGGAAATTTGAAGATGTTAGGTTTTCTTGTCTCCTTTATGTTTAATGTTTACTATGTTATGAAATGAAATATTTGAAATTTCAATTAGTTATCTGTTTGTTAGTATATTAGTTGAAATGTAATAGTTGAATATTGTTGAAACTGCAGATGCATTGAACTTGATAGGAATACAACTAAAAGATGGTTTCTTACGAGTAAGTTCATCGCAAACTGTTGGATTTTCAATTAGTTATCTATTTGATATTGTATTAGTTAATAGATTAAAGATGGTAGTTTAAACTTTCATTACATAAACATTCATTACATAAACTTAATTAAATCTAAATCCTCGGGCTGAGAGGAAGTTTGATCAATCATAGTCAACATCATCATCATCATCAGATGAGAAAATAATTATATGTCTTATCAACCTTCTTCTTCTTCTTCTTCTTCTTCTTCTCCTGCTCCTCACCCTGAGATCTCTCAAGTATAGTTCTGTTGCACAAGACCGGCTTCTTTCCTCATCTTGATTCTGCAGATTGCACCACAACACCCTATATAGCAACAACATCTTGATTTTCAGCATTGTTGGTAGCTTGAGAAGGAGAGCTCATTTTGATTCCTATGGATGAAGTTGGTTTTGTGTTCTTCCGCTTTTATATTATTTCTTCTGATTCTTCATCTTCTCTTGGAAGTTAGAAAGATTTCACGCATGTCAAGCTAATATGTTCATTATTGGTTGTTTAATTTTATACGCTTTATCTTGTCTTTGAAGTTGGAAGGATTTTTTCCAGCCTCGATCTGTTGAATGATTACATATCCTTGTCTTTTCAAATTTCATTTTACATTCTTTGATATTCCTTCTTACGTATATTTTGATGTAACAATATTTTGATATAAGTTTACAAATGGTGTATTGTTAATTCTCGTATAATACGTTTGAAATTTATTCATAAACAATATCACAACAGTTTTTACTCTTATTGTTGTTACAGGGCGCGCGTTGTTCAGTTTACTACAACACTCTCATGACCGTGATAGTAAGTAACGCATATACAACAACACGCTACATAACAACGCTTGGACCTGCGAGATTATATACCTAATTCAACTGTTCTTAAAACTCTTTTTCGTAGTAGTGTCCCTTAAAGATTTTGAAGGGCCTTGAGGAATATTGACCATACTAGTGTTTGATATCCATTTGTGTCTACTCATTAATAATTGGTGGACCAATTTCTTTACCAATTCTTCATAGCTAGTGATTAAGAATTACAACAGGCTCATATACCACTCGAAGATATTGGAAAGAACCTTGCACTTCGGAGAGTTTGAGGCTCTAGTGACCTCCATGTGAGGATTACTTTGGGCGACCCAAACCCAATATAGCAACGTGTCCCTCCATCTCGGATGGCATGTTGCTTCGCTAGGAGGTTTGCCTCTCTAGATTAAATTTTCCTTTTTTTTCCTTTTTTTCTTCTCAATTTATCCCTTCTTAGGACCTAATAAAATTATCTCCTTACAAAGAGCATAAGTGGTGAAGAGATGCTTGAGAGCATTAAGATGACATCCTTACCCTTGCAATGAATTTGTATCTAGTTAATTGATAATCCAAATTGATTGGAAAGTGAGTGGATATATGCTTGATGAAGGTCGTGCAGTATATAGCATTGCATATATTTAACAAAGACTGGTTGTAAAAAGCTCAGACGAGTCTTCTCTCAATGTGATTACCATATATCCTTTTATTGGACCATAAGAAGAAAGTTCCTCTAGTTGGAAGATGAACAATCTCAATGAATTCTATCCAATCAGCTGGTTTATGTATCTGTTGCATTATGGTTGCAGCAAGGTCACTCGTGCTCTAAATGTGGTCTTCCTCCTCTACCTCTGCCATATTGGACCATAAATCTTTCATAATCTAATTTTACACATAAAAATTGCAAACACTTTCCTTTCAAACAACCTTTCTATTTCTTACAGCATAATCAAATATGAATTTCTATTTTGTATTTTTTAAAAATGAGTTAAACTTTAAATTCAATTCCATACTTTAAAAAATAATGTAACTAAACATCTAAATTACTCATAAACATATTACTTTAACTTTTAGTACTATAACAACAAACAGATCATTACCTAAAAGCTACTTGTCTTGCCCCTTTCCTTGCTGAATTTTAGATCATGAGTTGAAATAAGCTTTCAATCCAAGAGGATCGGTCTGACTCAAAATGGAAAGTATCTGACTTCTACCATTAAATGCTCATCCTTCTTACTCCCAATTTAACTCTACGTCTATTCACTATTGCTTTCTACTATAGTATTTTAATTTCAAATTAATTAATTAATATTTCATACAATACTACTATTAGTATACTTTTGCGACATAAATAAAATTTATTATAAAATGATTGTCGCTTCTACTTTTCAATTTAATAATAATTATTACTTTTTTAATTGTGTTATTTATTTTTTATTTTTTATACTATTTTAATATATTAAGAAGATTAATTTTTTAAAAGTGTAATATTTTATGATAAAATCGTTCAGTTTTTTAATTCGTGTAAAAAAATTTAAAAGACAATATTTTGAAAAGAGAGATATTACTTTTTAACTAAAAAAATATCAAATCATAATCCCCATAATACTCTTTCAAATACAATTACAAACACCATGCAGTGATAATGACAGAGAACTGAATAAAGAAATTGACACTAGATAGTTCCATTATTTATTTATTTAATAACCGCGAGTGCTCTGCACTCTCCATCTCAACTTGTGTCATGCGAGTGGGGGTTAGAGAGCTGTTGCAGTGTCTTTAAAAGCTGTCCCCCTTTTCTCTTTCCTCTAGCGCTACACTCTCCTTGAAGTGCCAACTCCACCGCACGCGCCACTTCCTCAGGCGGTGCCGTTTGTTGATCCGCCATATCACCGCCATAAATCACAGCCAATACTCCAATAGCATACTCCTTCCCACGCGCCCCCGTTTTTCCCATTACAGTAACCATAACTGGTACCGCCAGCGCGTGAGCTCTCACCTCCTCCGCACCCTCCGGCACCGTGCACATGAGTTCCAGCGCAGCGAGAGCTCTCTCCGCGGGAGGACCTTCTAGCTCCGGAGCAGACTCCACGACGGCGCCTACGGCTCCGGCTTCAACCGCGACACGACGGTTGGCTTCCGAGAGACAAAGCGCGAAGAGAATCTTGGTGGCGGGTTTGGACTCGCGTAGATTATGGATCAGCGCGCGCATGAGATTGGGAGGACACGGTGGTTGTTCTTGAGGCGGGTTGGGAACGAGGGACCGTTCTAGAAGGTGAAGTGCAGCGTTGAGGTCAGTGGTGAGTTGTAGGTCGGAGACATGGAAGAGTTCCTGGAGGTTGGGAATGGTGGAAAGGAAAGGAAGGTGATGAGTCATAGTAGCGGGAGGGGGTGTGTTTGGTGTAGGTGGGGGTGTGGGAGTTGGAAGAGAGAATCTCCATTGTGTGAAGCTTTGGGAAGTGGCAGAGTTAGAAGAAGAGGAAGTTGAAGATTCGCATGTTGTTGAGGTGTGAGTGTGAGTGAGAGGAAGTTGTGGTGGTGGCAGCGGTGGTGGGGTGGTTCCTGTGGCGGTGGGACTAAGGACTGTTTGGCCACACTGTCGAAAGAAGCCGCATGAGAAAAGTTGGGTTTTAAGGTGTTTTGGTTGATGGCTTTTCATGGTGGAATGTGGTCAAGGGAAGTGATTCTTGGGTTTTGAAAATTGTTAAAAATGATGATAGAACACAACAAATAGGTACAGTGTGTTGTGACTTGTGAGTACTGTGTAGTACGACGTGGTTCTTTCTTTCTGTCACTGTTGTCTAAAATAGTACAGTACATGGATGAATTCACTTTCACAGTTAAAATAGTACTATACCAGTAGAAATTTAAAGTTCACTTCTGCAAGTTTTTGGTCTGTTAAAATTAGTTTGGTTTATTTAGTTACCAAGTTTCATAAATTCATTTTAGATTTTAGTTTCATCTTTTATATAATGGACGTTATAAATGAATCTTTTAATAAATAATACTTCTGCTAATTAACTTAGTTTATTCTATTAATTTGGTTATAAAAAAGTTATGTTAGTTGATGTGACATGACAACAAGAATTAATATCATTTGTGACTAGTATATGTGTTAAAAAATAAGTATTTTATTTAAATGGCTGGGATTTTATTTTTGGAGGTTAAAAACTTCGGTAAATTATTAAAAATTTGTAAATAAAATATATCAATTATTATGTTGTAAACTTTTAAAAAAGGGTCATTTTAATATTGAAATTTTTGTAAATCCTGCACATAATCGACACAAAGAAACCAACAAATAAGTTATTACAACAACTTCATTTTCATATCATATTAGCAAAAAAATATATAAAATATCATTTCAAATCCATCTTAAAATATTATTAACAACACAAAATGCATTGTTGATTTTTCGTATAATTCTGCAGATCAATTATAATCAGCAATACAAAATCGTATTACGAAATTCCAGTCACCACTACTCCGAGAGATGAACACATCAAAAAAGTGTATACATTATTATCCTAAGGAGTACTTTCATCTTTTTCAATGTTGTGAAACATTATAAAGAAGTAAGAAATCAGTTTACAAGCTTGACACAAGCAAAACAATTTAAAGAACAAATTAAAAATAACAAGGAAAATTAATTAGTTAGTAGAAAATATCAACTCTCCAAAAACAATTATTGTTGAGTTTATGTGTAGATGTATCAAATTAATCCCCCAAAAAATGTCTGAAACAAAACTAAATCACACTCTTAGAAATAAAACTAAATCACAAACTTTTTTTGTTGAATGAGTTCTAAAATCACTACTAAAAAAAAGACATTTGAAAAAAGGTTTTTACATCGGGTATCAAAATATATGATGTAGAAAATACAATTAAAAACATTTTACATCAGGTATTTATTTGCAATGATATAAAAAATAAGAAGAAAAATATTTTCCGCTACCTATTACATCGGGCAATCTCATCCACCGATGTAAAAGGTTTCCAGAAAAAAACACGATGGTATTTTTGTAAATAAGAAACAAGGTGGCAGAAATGTAAATAAAATATAAGCAAGATATTACATCGGTTTAACTAAAAACTGATGTAATAGGTTCTCAGGAGACTGTTAATATATAAAATATATTAAAAAATTATATAAAAGTGACACGCTTATATCGGTTGGTTTCTCCACCGATGTAAAAAATTATAGTGACACGCTTGTATCGGTTGGTTTATCCACCGATGTAAAAAATACACGCTTGTATCGGTTGGTTTTTCCACCGATGTAAAAAATTATAGTGACAACTTGCAAAATTGGAAAAGCCCACATTCTCCAACGCATATCAAAACTCGAACACAGTCTCTCGTCTCTCCTTCATTTTACGACCCTGAAACCCTCTCTTCCACCGACACATTTTCTCGTCTCTCCTCCATTATACGCAGCAACGCCGTCAACGACTTCTCCTTCAAGAGAGTCGCTTCCGATTACTATGATTGGCCGCCGCGACGCCCGCCGCGACGCTCTTAACGCCGTCAACGACTTCACCATCTTTGTAAAAGTATCGTTTTGGTTAACATGCAAGCTCCTACCAATGTCGTTGATTGTTCTGATCGAAAAAACTCTAAGTACTATGTTGTTGTTGTTCTGGTTATGTTTTTTTTTTTGTTAATCTGTTTTGTTGGATTTTTCATGGGTTAGTAAGGGTTTTAATGCGATTTGTTTTTGTTTGCAGTATAGTGCTCCGTTCAATGTTGAAGCTACGAGGAACTTTTTATACTCTCTCAACAATGGAACTATAGCCAAAAAGAAATTCAACTGTATGTATGCAATTTTGTTTTACTCACAACGCAAATATATCGTAGCTATACATGTTTTTGTGTCAAATTGTTTGGCCTTTAATCAATGTGTTGTGAAATCCTGGATTGATGGAATTGAATGGCGCGGAGCGGTAATGGATGGATGATTTTGCTTAATTATTATTAAATGAAAACCTAGCATTTTCCCTTGTTTCTTACTGACTCTCCATGGCAATGGTCTTACTTTTGCATGTTGCTATAACAATTTCAATTTCCATTTGCATTGTGAGTCCAACAACTAAATATAAAGGAAGACTTGGAAAAACTATAATGATAACTTGCAATCTCGGAATCTCGGAATCTCTGTTTCACGTCTCCTCGCCGCCGTTCACAACTCCTCTCCGCCGATTCACGCCCTTCACGACTCCTCGCCGGCCGATTCACGCCCTTCACGACTCTTCGCTCGCTGTTTCAACTGTAAGTCACATTCTTCACTTATTTCATCTGTAATGTGACTTATTCAAAATTAGATAGGTTAGGTTTGCTAGTTAGTTATGGGTTAGGTTAGGTTAGGGATTTGATGAGGCTTTGTTCCATCATTTTGCTGCTAAGTTTAAGGAGGAGTACAAATGAGAAGTGCAAATTTTGGAACGTGTGAAGGGGCCTTTGGAGAAGTGCAAATTTTTGTTTGAAAATGAGTGATTAGCATTATTCCTCTTTGAGTTTATATTTAGAGTATGTTAGATTCTAAGAAGAGATTGAAAAGAGAGAAATAGTGAAAGGGAGTATCTAAATTTTTATAAATAATTAATATTCTAATTATGTTACCAAATAGTTGTTCAACGATATTTGGTTTAAAACCAATGTTTTGCCAAATTTTGCTTATCAATTCGTTGTTACAGTCTTATTACTATTACTATACTATTATAAATTACACTTTGTTACTCGTGTGTTTTATACTTTATTCCATTCTTGTTACTATTATTATACTATTATATTTGAATCCCTTTCTCCTATTTTTATGCTCACCAAATAAAAGAAGTGTAAAATTTAGAAACCTCCGAAAAAAGCATTAATGGTCCTCTCAGAAACACACTATTTATCTTTAACCTATCAAACTAAATAGAGTTATCACCTTGCCATTGAAATTTGATTCTATTTTTATTTCTCCGCGAAGCAACGCAACTTGCAATCTCGGAATCTCCGTGAAGTAGCGCAGCCGCAGGCACACCGTTCGTTAGACCTTCCTCCGTGTGAACATAGTTATGGATCGTAGTTGGATGAGAGCTAATCGATTAAGTGACGAGTACGAACATGGAGTGATGGAATTTCTACAGTTTACTGAAAGTAATGCTGACAAAAGTCTTCCTACGCTTTTTCTCTGTCCATGTGTTCGTTGTGCAAATAAAGAACCAAAACGTAGTAAGAAAGAAATCATGGATCATCTAATTTGTGTAGGGATTTGTCAAAGTTATACAAAATGGATATGGCACGGTGAAGTAGTAGCAAAGTCAAACGTGTCTCAAAGAGATGATGTTAGTGTAGAAATGGATGATCGTCTAGAAGACATGATGCATGATATTGGACAAGATTTGTTTAAGAGGGCACATACGTATGATACTATATGCAATAATAAGGATAAACCATTGTACCCGGGATGCAAAAAATTTACACGTCTGTCAGCCGTGTTAAAATTATTTAATCTGAAGGCAAAGAATGGGTGGACTGACAAAAGTTTTACCGAGTTGCTTGAATTGTTGACCGAAATGCTTCTAGAAGGTAATGTAATGCCAAGTCGTTATTACGAGGCGAAGAAAATATTGTGTCTGATGGGTTTGGAGTATGAAAAGATACATGCATGCCCTAATGATTGCATATTATACAGAAAAGAGTATGAAAAGTATAATCATTGTCCAAAGTGCAAGGCTTCACACTACAAAAAGAAAGATGGTGAGTCAATTGATGATGAGGTGGTCAAAAAGGGTCTTCCTGCGAAAGTGGTATGGTACCTACCAATAATTTTAAGGTTCAAGAGATTATTCGCCAATGCAGATGACACAAAGAATCTTAGATGGCATGCAGAAGAAAGAAAATATGATGGACAAATTCGTCATGTAGCTGATTCTTTGCAATGGAAGAAAATAGATTCTTTGTTTCCAAATTTTGGCAAAGAGTCGAGAAACCTTAGACTTGGACTTGCTACTGATGGAATGAATCTGTTTGGTAATCTGAGTACTAACCATAGTTCTTGTCCTGTTCTCTTGATGATTTACAACCTATCTCCTAGGCTGTGCATGAAGCGTAAATATATTATGTTATCGATGATGATATCGGGCCTAAAACAACCAGGAAATGACATATATGTTTATCTAAGTCCACTGATTGATGATTTAAGAGTGCTGTGGGAGGAAGGGGTGGATGTTTTTGATGCGTATTCTGGCGAACAGTTCAATATGCGTGCCATGTTGTTTTGCACCATCAACGATTTTCCGGCATATGGTAATTTGTCTGAGTATAAAGTTAAAGGGCATAATGCGTGTCCTAAATGTGAAAAAGACACTTGTTACCATCAGCTTGAAAAAGGAAAGAAGACCGTTTATCTCGGGCATCGAAAATTTCTAAAATGTTATCATCCATATCGTAGATTGCGGAAAGCTTTCAATGGGGAACAAGAGCATGGTGTTGCTCCAAAGCCCTTGTTTGGAGAGGAAGTTTATCAACGACAACAGGGACTTGATGTTGTCTTTGGAATGTACCAAAAACGATCTGCTGTGAAAAATGTATGGAAAAAGAGATCGATTTTCTTCGATCTTCCATATTGGTCTAGTCTTGATGTAAGACATTGTATTGATGTGATGCACGTGGAGA